AATTTAGTGATATATAGTTTTATTACCACCAAGACAAAACAGTTGTCCTCCTTTTTAAATTATAAAAAATTCTAAACTGAATTCTGATAACATTGTGCTGTATTCTATATTCATTAAATAATAAAAATAAAAATAATATATTTTTATGATTCTTTGTCTTTTGAGTTCCATTACTGTTGTTGTGTGTTTTCATAGATATGTGCAACTGCAACTGTGAGGTTAACACTTTAAAGAATATTCCATATATGCCAAGATTATAGAGTCAAATATACATAGTACTGGAAGAAAAAATCCAGGTACAATTATATTTGAGCTTTTAATATAATAAAAATATTAAATTAAATTGGGATGGTCATATTAATTCAGTGCATCTTCAAATGGTTTAAAATAAGACTACAGAAAACTCAGAAATCAAATTATGATTGGGAAGGATATTAGCACATCCAGGCTAGACTCCCACTCACCTGATGGGTAAAGGAGCCAAGGAGTCTGTAATGGGAGCCGGTTAAGACTCCCATATAGTGCGCATTTAGGACCCTATGCAGACGGTAAAATCCGGAAGAGGCTGGAGAAGGGCAACAGGGAAACACAACAGGATCAGGACAGGATGACAGACAGGGGGGCATGACGGCAGTGTTCCTGTGCTCGAGGGGGCGTGGTGCAGGCGAACAAGTCCAAAACTAACAGAAGGGGAAAGCAGGTACCCGTCCAAAGTCCATTGCCGGGAGATCCATCAAAACAGACACAGAAATGGGAACGAGGAATCCGGACCATGGAAGTAAAATCATAATGGAGCCGGGTGCTCCGAGCCCCGGATCCAGATGGTCAGGACGCCAGGGAATAAGACCTGCCCTCGGGCTACCTGCGAGCCCGGGGAATAGGCAAGCCTGGTGGCATTCAGCCATCTTCCAATGCTGATCCGAGAGCTACGGAAATGCCACGCTTAAATAATAATCAGCAAACAGGGGGCAGGTGCACGCAATAACGAAACTAAAATACAAAAGGGTAGGAGCACCCTCTAGAGGAGGGATGAAGATGACTTAAACTCATGTAGTTTGTAAATGTGTAACAGTTTCAGACCCATGTAGTTTGTGCATAGCTACTCATGGAGTTGTGTAGTTTGCTTCCTAAATGCGTATTCCCTTATTTTCTACTTTTGTCCTATGGGTTTATTTCTTTGTTGGGTTTTATATATTTAGTCTTTGAGTAAAGCATCCCATGGTCTTGGTGTCTATCGAGAGTAGGCTTCATCACCAGTTTGATAATCTGATTTTGGGAGCACACTCTTGGACAGAGCATAATGCCAATCTACGAATCTGCCACCAGGATGTGAGAAAAATTAACTTTTCAAAAACAAAACAAAATTAAATAATGATTTAGAGTAGTTATTGTTAATTGTTAAAGTTATAGTTAATGAAGCACAATGAAAACCTAGCAGTTTCCAATAGCCATTTGGATATATAAATAATGTTATTTATCATTAAACTGTAAGCAGACATGTTTATTGATTATTTGAGTGCCACTGTTCCATTGATATAGCAACAAAGTAAGCCCAAGTCACTTAATTTGACAAAAACACCAGGTGCATAGTATTTGATATTTTAATTCAGATAAAAATGAATTGACTAAGGATCTATATAAACAGCTATTCAAAAGACATACTTTTATGTAATGTAAGAACAGTGAAAGAAACAATCATGCCCCACTCCAATAGTGAAAATCAACTGGTTGCTGTATAAGCATGATTGTAGGTGACTAGAGTAAGACAAGTTGTCCAGACAATTCGGTGTTCTGGTTCAACAGTCATCAGACTAGTCCGTAGAACCAGGAAACTGAATCTCTGAGGGAAAGCAATGTCCTTAAAGTCATGATACCAGATGCAGGACCATGACATCAATCTGATCCATCTGTGTAATCATTATGTAAACTGCAGTGGCTACAGCACTAGGAATTCTCAACAGAAATAACCTGTTATCTCTCTCATGACCCATATCCAATATAATGCCTGTGGAAGCAAGACAGGAATGGCAAAAAAAGCAGCCAACTATGACCAATGAGCCCTCGCAAGCTGACTACAGCTGCAAAGAAAGAATAGCAGAACATTCCACAGCACTACCTACAGGCTGATCAATGTTGTGCATCTATCCTGCCAGGATCATGTTAATGTTCAAAAATGTCATAACCATTTTTCAGATGTCCTCATTTTAACAGTGTTATATTGTCCACAGTTTTATTTCCCCACAACTCTTTGATCTATGCTGTATATTGTTCTGTGATTTTGATATTTTATGAAAAAAAAAATATTTGATTCATCAGTTAGGTCTGACTGCTGTGCATAATTATAAAAATCATATTTATTGGACTTGATCATTTAAGACATTAATGAATAATGTTCATGTATGGTGCCAATAATTCATGTGCTTTATTATTGGGAGTGGAAATCAGGTAAGAGATCATTTTAGTTTCCAAATATCTTTCCCTTACACCTTAAATACACATCCCTATGGTACATCCCTTTTTAATACTCAATACATTTGCAATCATTTGTTTAGCAAATGTTTTACAAATTACAGCTGTGGCATGAATTGCACCTGATATATTCTGTAGATTAATGTCTTTAATGTCTTTACTGAATAGGTAGCATCATGCTAATTTATCGCCTATATTAAATATCCACCATTTCACCGTATTTTGAGTCCTAAATGAAAGTCTAAAAGAAATGAAAAGTAGAATGTTTAAAAACTCCTTCAAATTGCCAGCCATAGCAATTTCATGGAGTACAATCATTATTTAATCTATCTACTGTACATCATCGTTCAATCCTTTTCAATCCTTTCTTGTGAATATTCTATATTCTATTCTAATTGTTAGTTTAATTTCTCTTTCCGATCAAAGACTTTCAATTTTCAGGTGTCCATCATACCAACCTTTCAAAGACATGTTTTACCATTTTTCTTTTATGTAGGGAGGTCAGATATAGAACTGTATCAGTAATAAATTTAGTGGTAGTTAATACAGGTTGTGAAAATAGTTCTTGGACAGTGTCCTGCAAATATATTCATCCAGTTCATACATGGACACTGCCCAATTCTGACTCTTCTCCATTCCAAAGTCGAATTCCAGCCTGCCAGAGTCACCCTTCCTCAGACCAATATTGCTCAGACCTGTCACGACTGTAATCCCTGCTCTTAAGGGCGCTCCAGCTCTTTCATATTTTAGTTGATCATGTGCACCTGCCGTCAATCCTGCCCCTCCTTAATTAAGGCGGGTGCTCTTGCTAGTCCCAGCTCTGCATTGGAAGACGTGTGTGTTTCTGTCTGTGCTGCAATACACTGGCAGCGCATCTACGATGTATCCCAACTTGCACCCATTACTTGGCAGGACAGGTTCTGCTGTAACCCAGAATTGGAAGGAGAAAATGGATGGATGCAAATAGTCCACATACAGTTCAAAGTACTCTGAAGACCAGGAGATTAATCTTCAAACTACAGATTATGACAATGATCAACTCTGTTATGATACACTAGGAAGCAGAACCATATACAGACATATGATGCTACTTTCCCCACATTTGAAGTCAGTGTCTAAAGTCACAGTCAGCTCTTTTGTTATTATTCTGGTTCACTGGGGCAGCGTTACTAAGTTTGGAACAAGTAAATGTTAATTCCAAGCTAAGGAGTAAAAAGAAGAAACAGTTGTTTTTCTGTCTTATGTTCTGCATGGAATTAACCTTTACTTAATGACAATTGACTGGTTTCCTGTCCAGGGTGTATCCTGCCTTGCGCCCATTGCTTGCGAGGATAGGCTCCAGCTTCCTTGTGACCCTGCAATGGAAGAAGGACTTAGAGAATGGATAACTAGAGTACTAACTAAAGATACTAACTACAGTTAGCTTAGGAGCAAGCTGATGTAGCTAGCACTTGCTAACCCAGCTCCCCATTTGAATAGCTAATTTTGAGTTTGAAATTGGAGCATATACTTTTAGGATTTTTGTGTCTTTAAATAGCAAATAGACAATATTAATTATTTGATTATCAGAGTTATCTCAAATACTTTCTATATTGAAATCATGGTGTCATTGTGTGAAGGACTTTTGTCCAAAAGACCTGTAAGCATTTAAATTGTGTACCAAAAAATCCCAATATATTCTTTTCATTTGTAACTATTTTACAAAAGTACAGACATATCATGGGTACATACAATTTAGTGTGAGTTTCTGGATTTTTCACACTATTGCAGTGATTAAGAAATAAGGATAGAGTCTGTAAAAAGAAAACATCTGGAGTTTCTCCATAATTTTGCATGAAAAACCGCTGCTTAACCACCATCCCCCTCCCTTTTGCATTGTAGCCAGTGTACTGTACGTTTCACAAGACTTTTGTATAAGAGCGCCACGCTGAGTAAAATTTAGATCCATGCCTTAAGGCTATGCTTTGGCTGTGAGAGTCAGTATTCCAACAGACCACAATGCATAAGTGTTATCCATAGGTTATCCATAGTATTAGCTTCAAAGAGATGAGAAGCATATTTACAAAATGTTTTTTGGTTATGTGATAAAATAAGACCATTATGTGCTTCAAAATTGTGATAAAAATAATAGTATATATATAGTAAAAAAAAGATAAAATCACAAATCGAGTTTTATGCTCAAGTTATAGCATTTAAATTTCGAGTCTAGTCCTAAAATAGTAAGAGTGCTTACATCTACTAAACATACATATATAAACTGAATGTCTGGAAAATCTGAACGCGTTTTTTTTCCCTGTGGATCGAACGTCCTTAATTTATGTATTTTGTATTTTTACGCATGTATTATACATAATTCTTCTTTCATTTAAAAGTTTGCTTTAAGAATCATTGTTGTACCTGAGAGGTCGTAGCTATATTTCTTCAATGACTAAGGGTAATGAAAACAGAATTTATCTGGAGTGCTTTAATAGCTTGTGCGTATCTCACACATCTTTCGGTTTTATTTTCAGATACAAACACTTTGTACTATTTTGAAGGAGAGCGCTGTCTTTACAAAGAAACTGGTGTTTGAATTTCAGCCCTCGTTCGTTTTTCTTTTACTTCACAAGACTCCGTCACAGCGGAGCTCTTCATTAACTAAAGCTCCCTTCGCTTCTGTAACTGCGGCTTCTGTGCTGTTAACGGTTCTCTTTCCTAAATGAACAAGAGCTGCAGTGAAAACCCTGCGGATATTCTCGTCACAAAGCTTTTTTTTGTTGTTGTTTTTGGATTACGTGTTTCGTGCGGTTTTATTCGTACTGAGCCGCTAAAAACGCTGCTAAAACGAAGGGTTGGAGAATGGTGAATTGATCAATAAACCGGAGTCGGAAAAAATACACGATTTGTGAGAGTGTGGGAAAGAAAAATCCCTTGTGATTTTCAGTCCGTTTCTGTGATCTATCTTGTGAGTTTTTCCATTCAGTCATTTCAGCACCACTAGAAACAGACAGCGACCGCTTAGCTTCCAGGAGATTGGAAAATGTACAATCTGCATTTCACTTGGATTTTACTGGAAATCGGCAGTGAGGAGAGCTAATAACGCATTCAAAAAGGAGCACATACAACTTGTGTTTAGTTTTGCGTTTCACTTTGGGGCATTTAATTTCTTTTTATACTTCGTCGTTCTCAGACACTCTCGGATGCTGCGTGGAAGATACGGGGACCAGGATCAGAGGCGATTTCCATGAGGTTATTGAGAAAGAAAAGAAGAAAAAAAATAGCCCGGAAAAACAAACAAGGAATATTGTAACTTGGGTTGGAAGGATTTGTGTGCATACAATAAAAAGGGAAGGGTTTTATAAATACTGCAGCTCCACCTGTTAACTGAACACCAGGTAAGCAGCTGAATTGTGTTTTAGTACTTTGTTTACAGATACCAAATAACAGACATTTTGATTTAATTAATAAAATAAGAGAAAACGTACGAACAAGTGTACACACTGCCCTTACACTGTATATACATATAGAGAAAGAGGGTGTAGTGAACAAAAGTATTTCTTTCATTGAGATTGTGTTTATTTAATGCTTTCGGAACTTTGTGAAATTTGCTGTCGCATTACTTCGGTCTTAGTTTCAGAAATATGTCCAGATCTGAACAGTGAGAATGCTAGAAAAAAAAAATCTCTTGAATTGCCAATCCACCGCGCTCTTTCTTTTTGTATAGAAACACAACGTTAAAGATTATGCTGATGTTAGCGCTGGTATTTGCTTATTAACAGTGTATAAATAATAAAATAATAATAATGAATCTTTTTGTCGACCGCGCAGTATATAATCGTTAGACCCAAGTTATCTTAGTTACAGGGACGATGAATCATTTGTTACACAACATATTAATTTAAACACATTTCAATAAACAATTTGAAAAAGATTCGGAATGCTTGAGGCTCAGAAATGTGCCGTGTACCTTGCCTGTTTAGATCGTGTAGTGGCTTAAGGAAAACTAGAACTGTTAGAACCTGCTAGTAGCCTACTTTATCATTGAAGAATGTGTCTATTAGGCTGCGGGTTCGAAACTTACTAAAATTGTTTAAAAAAGAAAATATAAACACGAGAGTTAAGAGTCGGGACGCTGTTTTTCATACCTCCCAATTTACGTAATCGGTTTTTGATAATAAATTACTTTAAAGACTCACGTTTAAAGGTTCATGTTAAATAAATACCGGAGAGAAACATTCTGCAAGTAGGGATGCTGCAACAGCGGTGAAATAAAATCTTAAAGTCTTTAAATATTAAAAACTTACAGTTTTCCTGAAATTCGAGAATTTTTAACTTACAGTATTTAACATGCCAGACACTATTGAATATTTAGATAACTCCCAGAAACATTCAATATGGAATGATCTAGTTGTTTTTAAAACGTTTGAACCTGTGTATTTTTTTCTAATGATCTTTTTTGAAAAAAAAAATACTGTAGGTGATGCCGGTTATTGGGGTAAATCATTTCGCCTTGGTTATTCGTGCAAGTTCTATATCTATATTTTCATTACCATTTCTATTTGTATATTTATATTGTATGTTAGTGCACATATCTTTACAAACTCAGCAATGTGCTATAGCTGTCTTTTCAAAGCAAATCACATAACAAACAGGATTAACATGATAGCGCAACAAGAGGAAAAGCTCAAAAAGACCGATGAGGTTCTGAGACCTGAAGAGAACCAACCTATGAAGGTTTTAACCTACGGAGTTTTGCTTCATTGTTTTAAATTGTGTTGGTTTGCTCCCTGTTTAAACTGGGCAGTTCACAAAATGTCTGGGTCCTGAAGCCTTTACTGAAATAATCAAATGAAGGTAGGAAGATAAGATGATGTCCTGAATTTGGATTGGATTGAGTCAAAACGTAGATCCACCTGCTGCTCACCCATTGCTTAAGGATATGCTTTTATTGGGAAGATGAAAAGACAATGACAGACACAACCCCATCATCCAATTATGTTTTTTATTTAGCAGTTAACATGGGGATTAGTATTTTTGATCTGTGGGTGGGTCAAAAATGTAGATTTGATCTGTCATGTTCGGCCTTCAGCTGGCCAACCAACCTTTGGGTTTCAGAAACATGAAGAGTTATCAGCTTGCATTTGGTATTGCAGTGTAGGGTTTCTAAATTAGGATTTCCTTAGGCACCCCCTCATTTTTTTTTCTTTTCAGCCTGTCATAGAACAATCCTTCATCCCAGAACTGTCAGACATCCCTTGCTTAAGTCTCAAACAACAACTAAATCTAGTATCATGCGTCTTCCACAATGCCCTAAGGTAAACACATTTCCCTATGATACTGTATGTCTACAGTCCCCACAGATGCTGCAGATGAAAACAAGGCACTAGTATACAATTATTGATACAATAGAATGTGAAGATGTCACAACTAATGAAAGGATCTCTGATTTTTAAATATGTTCTTATGTAGTACAGTTTCCTATTTAAACCTTTAGCTAGTCCTGACACAAGATACTGTCATTTCTTTTGTGTTACTGGCTACCCTACATTTCGGATGTGGGGCAGAGGCAGAGTTGCGCACGGCCTTACTCCCAAACAACATAAAACAATATTTGAGTACTGTGGGGGTATAAAAGCTCCACAGGACTTTAGGAAGTATACCCTTCCACTTTGTTGAAAGAACAAGTACCTGGTCACTAAAAAATAATATAATTTTCCACTTTCCACTAAATTAAAATCCCTTTTCATTGTACATTGTTTTTCTGTAATAGATTTATATATTTAATGTAAGTACTCCTCAAAATATTCCAATGAAAGTAACCAATATCAATTAAACACATTTAAGCACATATTATTATAAGGATAAGAGATTATCCTAAAATAGGCATAAGGCTAATGAATAATGGCAGTTGTATACTGCCATTATAGTTCAGCACAAATAATATTATAATATACTGTGCAATATTTTTATTGTTTGGGGAGGAAAAACAAATTTTACCATTATAAATCATATTTTTTGTACAGTCGCATGGTAGAATTATTTAACTGTAGAAACTGTAGTGACTGTAGTAATCAAATCATTTTTTGCCTAATATACAAAAGAGGGTAGACTGAGAATGTAAATTTATTGTTGTCGATTTCTTAATAGTGATTTTTAAATACATCTGAAAAGATCTGAAGTGATCTTATTATAACATAGGCATTTTTTCAAGTAAATCAGAAGTATTTATCATCTACACACTGTGTTTCTGTTCAAATAACAATATAAAATAGGTAGAAATGCATTATTTAACAAAATATATATTTTAGGCAGACATGCCAAACCATTAACCATGAGTTCCAGATGTAAGCATCTGTATGCATGCATGGGGTTGAAATTATTCATCACAGCAGTCTACACTTCTGTAATGCTTAGTTGCTGTCACCCAGCTTTAGACCTTGGCAAATATCATTTAGCAGGTCTACTATGATGCAAATCACGGCATCAGTATACCAGGCCAGCTTCTTAAACACACTGCATGTTTGGATGTACAGTTAATAGCACTCATAAGTCATTAACTTGTCTCAGCTACAGGGGTCAGCATAATGAACAAAGCACTTTGGTTAATGACATGTTATTGCTTTCTTACTTGTATCATTCTACGCTTTACTATTTGTTAAAAATAAATACCACATATGAAAAGATATTATAATAACAGTGTGTTTCAATTATTAAGGTAAAATATCTGTCAGTCCAAAAGGAATTACTCTGATGGGAGGATGAAGGAAGAGGGCTGAGTCCACAGAGCCTCACTATCTGTCTCTGCTTATGTCAGTTGTCATGTAATAATTCAGCATAATTTAGGTTGTGGGGACTATGCTTTGGATGAGGCCTGGATTGTTGTGTCATGGTCATCTGCGTGAACAATATCTCTGGGCCACATGTTGCCAATCCCCCTGCCATATGCAGTTATGGTGTTATTAATGGGACATGATGGATGGTTCCTCTCATAGCCCTGACCCAGGAGTCTGTGATCCACACCTCTTTTGTCCCTTAAAGATGCTCTGTTTAGTTGTGGAGGCGTCAGGTCCGGAAACTTGCCTAAACAGGTTTGGAGACCAGGAGTACTGTGGCTTTATTGATTATACATGTATACAAGTACAAATAAATGAGTGACAATTAGAGTTCATTAACTTACTTATTGAAACACATTGGAGTATATAAAGACGGTACAGGATACCAAACAGTATACACTTATACAATATACACAAAACAAATATAATAACTCTAGGAAGAGTTTAAATACGAGTCAGAAGAATAATTCTTGGCTCAGGAGATTCTCATGCATAGACATGATCAGAGAAACAAATCCTTTACTACAGAATACAGACTGAAAAGAGATTTAATCAAGTATATGAAATCTTAAGAGCTACATATACTGTAGGGTCAACCTGTCACAGCATTTCATACTCAGTATTAAAAACAAAAACACATTGTTTTGCAATTGGAAGCTACAGATGCAACCTATAGTTGCACGAGTGGGCATCGCAGTATAACAGACAGCAGCAGATCGTGGCTTTTTTTATTTTTTCGAATCATCTGATGAAAGACTGCACTACTTTGTAAAACCACACCTTTGTATAGTTATCTGACAAATCGATACAGTATTACATGTTTATTAACACATTACTGCTTTCCTGCAATCATTGTATAGAAGTAGTAATTAGAAAAAATATTTTAGATGTTAATTAGAAATATGTATATTATACATAGTGGCTTCAAAAATCACATTTAAAAGCAAAAAAGAAAAAAGTTTGAGTGTCGCATATTGTAAGTTGCATTGTAATAATGGCACTCTGAAAACATTTGTCTATAATAATTAAAGATACTATAGCTTTGGATAAGTTTGCAACTACAGTATGTTGTTCTAGACAAATAGACAAATACGTCTGTGCCCCTTTTTCTTGTCTTGCAATATACAGTATATGCAATTTGAATTAAGGGTGATCACCCTATTTAAATGGATCAGAAAGTGTCTCCTTCATGTGGTTTTTAATTCAGCTCATGAGTCAAATACATGTACAAAAAAACTACATTTCCCAACGTATCACACGTTTAATGAAACACAACTACCACATATTGATCTTCTTTGAGCCGTGAATGACTAAATTCTGTATGCAGCACTAAGTACTACACTGCAATACACTTTCTTCCAACAACCGTTTTGACATGCATTCTAGATGGCTTCATCTGTAAAAGGACATTGATTTAGAGCAGATAATAGGAATAAGATTTATTTACTGAATGTAGGTGTTGGGAACAGGCTACCCAGCTAGGTGTTTAAGGCCCCAAATCCTGAATAACATTTTAGATACATTTTAGATACATTTAGCTACTAAACTACAAAACAAGGAAT